AACCCAGCTCTCAGGTATGCTTGGTAAACATGCACGGGCCCGTGAAAATTTTGTTCCAGTAAATTGTTAACTCAGGTGCCAGGAAAGTAAGAAAGTTGAAATTTTAAACGGAATGTTTTCTGACAGTTTTGGTGGCCGGTCTTAATCTGTTTAGCTAGAAGCATTTGCCGAAAAAACCGGTGGCGGTAGCAACAACTGCGGGGAACCATGCAAAAAACGCATCTTCTCATGAGCAGCCCGTGCGTTGGCCAATTTTTCGCATTGCACTGATGCAAAAAACGTATAACAACGACTCATCGGCCGTGCCTTTACCGGCAGTGTTGCGACGGCGTCTCCCCAACTACTATGCCTCGCACAGCTTATACTTTTTTATGCATTTTGCTGTATAACAGCAGATTGTCGCGAAGTTGCCCGTGTTTGAGTACCTCCCCAACTTTCAACTCGGGAACCATAAGAGCTAGGAAGCTAAAAATTTCGGGGAATGTTCTCCACCCACGTATGACTCAGCAAATTTAAATTCCCGTACCGGCGGGTAATACGTACAGCCCTGCAAAATTTTGGGCGGGGAAAATCATTCCCTTGCTATCCATGGAAGCTAGCAAGCTAAAATTTTGTCCACTGCCCACGTGCAACCCAGAAAATTTAAATTCAGTCTTCCCGTACCCGCGGGTAACATATACGGCCCAGTGAAACTTTTGACGGGTAAACTATTATTTTAGGAATTGCGGGATCTAGAAAGCTGAAATCTTGTGAGACCATCCCCTGCCCACGTGCAACGCCTCAAACCTAATTTCTGAGCAGCGAAAATAAAATCATTTAGCAGACAATCGTTCAGTGGACGGAACTGCACAAAACGCATGATCGTGCCGCCAGCCACCCTGGTGCGTGCCGCAATAAATTTTTTTGTAGATTCCGGGCAGCACTTTACTACGCTCATGCCCATAGCGAAAACACTTCAATTGTTTGAGGTCTTTCCCACTTTGCCTGGGCTCAACAACAACCGAAACTGAGATGAGGTGCAGCAGCCGTCCTGGATATGAATGAGCGCCGGGACCCACACGAATGACATCACTGGACAGAAAAAATGTTTTTGGGAAACGATCAGGCGAGAAGAGCGACCTTTCTATATTTCACAGAAGCTGTATCATGCGTTTCTGATGCCCATTAACAGCTGAGGGAATTCTCCCTCAGTAACGCCATATGCAACGCC